ATCTTCTGGGATTTGCCCAACCTTCTGTAGCTTGTCGAACCTAGCAAGCATATCCACACGAGTATTCCGTAGMTCTTCTCTGGCTTCTTGGAGATCTTCGAGTACGATAGCAAAGGAATTCTGCACCTCTGGGAAATGCTTTTGGATATCGTCTATGGAAAGCTGCTTCGTTAGTACTGCGATTTCCATGCCATTCTCCCTTTCTATCCTACGTATCTTTGGAATACCCACTCCATACTTCCTTGCAACCTTTTGCAGGCCTACTCCATTCCTTCGATCTTCCAACAGCTCTTCTATTTCGTCCTTGGACAGCGTATTGGGCGTAGCCATATATATAGRTGGATATATTTTTTGCCCTATATCTACCCTATGTCTACCCGCGCTTGTCCTATGTTTGCCCATACATGTTTGTACATAGGAAATACATGTTCCGTACATAGATATAGATGTATTTGTAYATAGCTAAAGGTATAGCTGCCTACATGCTAGGAAAGAAAAGATGGGAATACGAAGTCGCCGAAACGCTCTTGCACTCTTCCATCTATATATGAGGCGAAAGTTATTTCGGCGACTACGTACGCACTTCTGCGATCTACAACGTCGGTTTGCAAGAACAATAGAGATACTCCTACAAATTCTAGAAGGCTTCTACAGGGCATCGGAACGCTTGCAAAGATTACCTCTCGTGCTCTATAGTGGTACACGCAGCATAGGGAGTCCCATTTCGTTCCCCCGCTGTACAGGGAGTCGCGTATCGCTACCCCGGCTTTCTATACCCGATTGCCTCAACGAATACAGGGTTAGAAAACTCGCCGAAAACGCTCGCCGAAAAACTGGTGTTCTATATATTCTACTAAACATGTAGCGTGGCGTCAGAATATTAAACACAATAGGTCAGCTGACTGTTTCGGCTACCAACGCAAGTCTCGGCTACATCTATAGTTCCCTGCTCGGATTCTACAACCCACCACAGCAGCACACGTAACGCGACGAATCCTGGTAGGAATTGGGGATCCGCACAGACTAAGGCTTCAATATGGTCTGTTCAGGTAGTGTGCTGCTCATGTGGGATATTTTTCTAGCACTTTAGGGACGCCGTGGGGACCCACTGTGCATGAGCACACTCGCAATTAGTTTTATCTTAGGAATATTCATATTAAAAGAATCAAGGAAAGATGCAAGTTGAAGTAAAATTATACAATTAACGCCTGAAATAAAATTTCAATGAGTCAAACCTTTTTTTCTGATGTATTAAAATAAACAAAAACGCTTATGTACAACGTCAACATTTCGATTTTTCAGAAGACTCGTAGATCGAAATGTGGCGAAAGGTTGATGAGCTTACGCATCGAAAGGATCAGGCAAATCTAAGTCTAGATAATATGTTTGTGTATGAATTTAACACATATTTTGGAGATCTATGCAACGATTATAAGTACATTAAGCCTACATTGATGGAAATACCTGAAAATGCTTCAATACCTCAGCTCACAACAATGCAAGTTTTCAATGCCTTATCCAAAATTAAGACGACGGCCAAAGGACCGGAAGGTATACCATATTGGGTGTGGAAAGAGTTTGCAGCCATCTTAACTCCTGTTGTGGAAACTGTGTGAAATTTGTCATTGTAACGCAAAGTTGGCCGTGTTTATGGAAAGAAGCGAATGTAAATCCCTTTCCAAAAGTCGACGTTCCAGCTCTTACGGTGACTGCCTACTTTTGGAAATTGATTTAAGGTTTTTTTAAAACTTCGATTTTCCGAATTGAAATTTAATGCTGATTCCAAATCTGGAAAGAAAAATAGGGTGTCCCGAGCTCGTTTTCGAGATAATCAGCATTTAATGGAAGCCTACGCACGAGCTTTTGGAGTAAAAATTGCGCCACCGGAAGTGATTAGAAAAAAATTAAGATGAATAAGATAATAGTTATTTGCAGACTATATGATTGCATGAATGAAGGCTATTCAATCATTCTACAATAATACATGGATATTTTCGACAAAAAGACATAAAAAACCTCATAAAGTCGAACAAAAATCCCTACAAAAATCTATTTTTTCACGTGTTCCTGATTTAAACTTTTCCTAAAATGTTGATATAACCTAGATTTTTAGGAGTTTTTTCGAATGAGCTATCAAAAAATATAGAGTCCCGTGCAAAATTTGAGGGTTTTTCCCTGTTGAAGCTCAAAACGCGTATGGTTCTTCAATAAAATCTTGTAGATTTTTCAGCGGTTTTTGAGCGCGCGCTCATCGTGGGCTCGAACGTTCAAAAGTAGGCAGCCACCTTAATACAGATTTTAGAGGGATTAGTGTAACTCCGGTGATCGCTCGAACGTTTGAAAGGGTTGTCTATGATTCATTTAATAAGGAAGATATTGAACGATATCTGTGTTCCAATCAATTTGCTTTATCGAACTGCTGGGAGTTGCATTAATGCCCTACTGAAGATGCAGCATAACATTCCAAATGCTTTAGATAACCAGTGCAACAAGGCTGTACGTGTATTCACCTTGGACTTTTCAAAAGCATTTGACAATGTCAGACACCATTTATTGTCAGAAAAGTTGAAGGCAAGTCCGTTGAGTGAACATATGGTAAACTGGTACTTAAGCTTCTTTTCTGATCGAAAGCAACGTTTGGTACACAACGATRTTTATGTTATTAGGGGTTTAAAGATGGTGGGCTATGGGCAGCACGAAATCGACCTGATCTTCAACACAATCGTGCTTTYTATATTAGTGTACGGTCTTCCTGTTTATGGAGCAAGCCAGGCACACCTAAACATAATTTAATGTTTTTTTAAGCGATGTTTTAAGAGACGTTACATTTCCCAACTGATTAGTATCATATTAACTCTTAGGCCCAAGGCAAACGTCGAACTAACCATGAGCTTAATTTAGTCGAACCTATTACATTTGAAATAGGCTCAAGCCTAGAAAGACGTTTGCTGCAATTGAGAACGACCCTATTGAATAGGTTCGAGTCCAGCATAAGTTCGACAAGCCAAGTCGGACATTACGGACATTACGACTCTGGAGCGACTTTGCGGCAAACGCCGTTTCAAACACGTGCCGAACTGAATTCATAAATTATACAAAATAGCAAATCAATCATGCAAGTCGCATGACTTACACCAAAGCCGTGAAAACAACCATACCCCCACCTCCCAAACACCCATTCCCCCCCTGGCGACCATGCGCTATAAGAAGATGAGTCGAGACCGAGGATCTCTGGATACGAAAATAAATTCAAAACTACTCAAACTGAACATGTCCGCGTTTAGAAAATCCTTGCCACGAGATGAGACTCTTGAGTCTTGTAGTTTTTGCTTTGACCAAACGAAATTTGTTTGCCTGGTTTGTGAGATGCCGAGCTGCAATAAATGTGCTGTATTTGAGAGCAACGAAGATGAGCCGGGCTGGACGGCAGGCAAAAGCGTTGCGTATTGTGAATGCTGCGAGAGAGGGAAAAAAAGAATGAAAAACAGGTTTTAATTGTGGTCGAGCGCTATAATTTGCCATTACAAGGATATGTAYTAATCCGGAAAAGACAAACAAATRTCCGTGCGTTCCCCCGTGCATTTTTATGTCCAATTAAAATTATAATAACAATGGGTGAGTGAATTGAGATCAACATTTTGCCGCCACGTAAGCCCTTGGTCGACCTTCCACCGAACCAATATTAAATCGGTTCGGTGCGACGTTAGTCCGACGTTTGCCCTGGGCCTTAGAAAAGTATGACAGAATGATCTACACTAGAATTAGTAATGATAGGCATCATCCACTGTTTTCTCTTCTTCCTACCAATAAAAAAATCATCAAGTAGGCTTCGAACAAAAACATCTCAAATGCCCTTAGTAAATACTGAAAGATTTAAAAATAGTTTTGTAAATAGACTACRCTTTAAATATAATTTAGCAGTGCAGTTTCAGTACATTTTAGTTTTTCGTTTGCGTTACTTTTATCTGTAGTTGCTATAATTATTATAGGTTTTTAGATCTTCATAGATTTTATATGATTTTCTTGCTATTGTTGTAACCTTACGCAAATTATGTTTAAACCACTACTCATTAGGGTCGGAGAACCAAGCCATATAGGTGGAGAGGGGAAAAATGTCGATACAATAGCCAATATTCACTTTAAAAAGGAATAAAAGGAAWGGAATAGGGAAAAAAAAGGGTTACATTAGTCGTTTCGATGGTTCCGATCAATGTTTTGGTGGTTCCGATTGTCGTTACGGTGATTCAGGCGTAACCGTTCCGGTCGTTCCGGYGTAATTGTTCCGGTTGTTCCGTTCCGTGGTGTTCCAGGTTTTAGCATATGCCAGAAATAATATGCATATYTATGGCGTTCCATCCCCGCAAAAATGCATGGTTTGAAGCTCCTCAAATAAAATTTTACTTTCTAGTAGATTATTTCATATAATATTACTATTTCGTATTTTACATGCTTCATCAAGGTTTCAACATACATGTACGTGTTTTCTATTTGTCATTGATGTTTTATATTTGAGTTTGTCACTGATTCATTCTAAACTCCAAGCCATGAATTTGTCGTACGACTTTCACATTACAAACTCGATGAATTTTATTTTYAACTCGACGTTTTTGATTGAACCGGAGGAAATTGTTTAATTCGCCAGCGCGCTTGCTCATACATCAGTGAGCAGAAAATACAACTTTAACAAATCGCTAATAGATTTCCATTGTCTGTCCTCTTATTGATCATAGATAAAGTCTTAAAATGTTCAAACGCACGAACCACGAGAGCAGCGAGTTTTTTACAACAAAAATTCTTTAAGAGTTTTTTGATTGACAGTTGTTGAAATGCCAGTTGGCAAACGAGATTTCAATCCTTTTCGAGGGTCGCACTTCAACGATAATGGTAGTAAATCAGATCGATCTAGGGTAGGTTTGCCTAAAGCTACCATTGATGAGCCACCTTAAGTATAAGGCTCGTAATTTACTTATTACGCATCACCTTAAGTATAGTATACTTACGTAGCGTCTTGTAAAAGAAGAGCACGGATAAAATTTTGAGCATGTACCGATATCGGGCTGAAATACTTGTCGGGAAATTCTACTGGCTGTCTCCTTATTCTATCACAAGTATCGTCTGTTGTGTCTCCCTGGTAAGGAGAAACACCGGATAACCTGGAGAACAAAATACATTTACATCTCGTAAAGGATGCGAAGTGAAGGACRAAAGGAAAAGGCAAACATTTTCAAAGATCTTTTGTGTACCGTTGTTTAGTTTTTAGTAAGTTATACGAATTATAATAATGGAAGAAAAAATTGTTTTTATCCATCCACACGAGCTCAGCAGAACGGCAAAATTTCTATTCTGGAGAGTGTTTTGTTGATAAGTTACTATTTCGTAAAAGAAAAGCCGTGTTTTCATTAAACRTAAACGGAGCATTACTCTTCTACCTTTCTTCCTGGGATCTTCATAATAGGAAACCAAAAGGATACTTACATGACATAGGTAACAACACCAATGCTCCTATAAAGTTTAAAACAAAAACAAAAAGTTATTAGTATGGAGTTATAAGTTTCAACCGAATGCAAGGTGTTTCGAATCATGTGTTCAGTTTCAAAGAGTTAGCTTCAATAGACCTAATTTGTCGTCGCAACAAAATGAAACTCTGGGGAATAACACGTAGTTTAAAATGGGAAAACTTTGCACCAAGACGAATTAGGTCTATTCAGTTGTGTAGATTACTCAAATCGCCCATAAAAACGCCGAGTAAACTTATTAGCATGCTTCCTGTCTTTTTACTAAAACAAAACCAGGACATTATATCCGCCATGATATGGTATACTTTCTCGTGCGATTGTGAGATTCACCGCAATGTATGCAACTGTACATATGCTCTGCCTATTTTATACTAATTCTTATGCACGATTGCATATTTGCGTATTAAATAGTCTCACGAACGACCACCAGCCCCCATACGGGAATGTTTGGCTTGATAGGTCTTTCTGGAAATAACTAGACGCCCTATAAGCGTTCATGAGAAGGCCTAGAAGGTTCGAGAGTTAAACAAGATGTTAGCCAAAGATAATCACGGTAATGCTTCACAGAAAAGAATGATTTCGTTATACCTTGTCTAACTAGACCACTTTCTTTCTCTTCCTGTTTCCCCCCAATACTTAATTAGTTGCAGACCCTGCTTTCTTGGAATAGAAAGGTGATTTTTCCGCTAAAAACAGTGTTGTGTTACTTGTTAACTTGACCTTGTCACTGCGCGACAAATCAAATTGCCCAAATTTACCTCTTGTAAATGTACTTGGCTGAGGAAGTGAATGTATTTCAATGAGAAAATATTCATTTACTCGTTAAAATAAGCCAAACTTTTCTACAAATTCATTTACAAATATTTTTCAGTTTGTCTTTCTTCGGGTCTGTAAACCACTGATTGTTTCTTGAACGAAAGCTTCGAGCTGTTGACAGGCAACATTCTTGCCGTCTTTGATATCGATCAAAGCCGAGAGCTGGGATGTACTAGAGTTTATTCATATGGTAAGGTTTCAATCGGAATTGGTAATATTTTGTTCTTTGTTCATTTTCATTTTTTTTCCATCATTGATTCGAGATCTCAAATACGTGTTTCCCAAGTTATTTTTCATCTAAAAGCACACCCAGGCATGTGTAGGTCATTACACGCTCGATCTGTGTCCCGTCAAGAATGATATTAAAATCACACCGCAAAGCATGATGGTACAGATTGAATTTTTACTCATTTGCATCTGGACGTCGAAGTATGAACAACTAAATATCTGCAATTCAATGGATATTAACGGTCTTCTTCCATGCTTTTCGTCTAACAAGACGCTCTCGGAGCGTGCACTGGGTTGCCTAATGTTCTGGTATGCTGGAGCTCATATAACACCTAATGTTCATTATGTACCGCTATTTGGGAGGAGCGGGTACTTGTGTACTTGTGTATGTGAAATGAAACTCGATTAATAAAACTATATAGATGCGGGTTTATAAAAAAAGCAAAAGGRAAACAGCGTTGCGTTACCGACGTCACTAAGTACTATTAGTATAAACCTACTAGCATACTATCACGAATCCTGCAATCTGATTGCCTAACGTACTCACTATCTATCCTGTGATAGATAGCGAGTAGCGAAAAATAAAAAAGTGCATGCTCAAGTTTCGTCGAAATCTCTACTTGTTCTCTAAAAAAATCTTTAAAAATCGATTGTAGAAAAGACAAGACTGAATCAAGGATAAATTAAAAACTGTAAAATTATGGCAATTTTAACACGAAAAAGTGGCCGTCAGATTTCACTGAGATTTTCATATGCAAACTTACGACGGAAAAACAATTGACTACTGAGATAATGATGGCATCTTAAAAGGATTCCCTCAAAGAACAGAAAAAATTCAAAAGAACACTTATTCACATGCATTCAAGAAGAATTTTAAACGGTAAGAACAGACGAAACAATAAAGTGCAAAATGCAAGTTAATTGACAAGAATCTTATATTAAGCAAATTGTAAACATGGCACGGCTTTTAATAGTCTGACAACAAAATATTTGTAAATAAATTATTTCAGTTTATCACTCATTAATTTTAAAAAATGATGCCTAAATGAACCCTAACCCAAACCCTAGGGTAAAAAAAATTGGAAAAAGAGTTTTGATAGTAATAATAGAGAAAAAAAGCTATAGAAATAGAGCAAGTTTAAGCTTTACGTTAATGCTTCGAGAAAATATCTGCTCCCCCTCTGTTGTTTTTGATTGGTGCAAAATATCACGCCATCACCGATTTTCACAATCTAGTCACGTGCACTTGTTTATTTTCACGATTATTGTCGACATAATTTCGTTTAGATGTTTAAAGGGTTATTTGTTTTTCCCTAACCGTTCTGAAGTTATCGATCTCTCCATTATTGAGTATATTCTTCAAATAGTCTTTTTAAATATCCAAACCAGTGAAGTGGAACTGTGAAACTCGGATAGTAAAAGGATTCAAAACTGAGCAAAAACTATTTAAGCTAAAGTTATCAGCTCTATTACCGCGTAGTAATTAACGATATCTTTATGTATATGCTTTCAAGATTAACTAAAGATTGAAAGCCGTATTTTACTATAGGCTCTACTAACCCGCGATTGAAGCAAGAATACGGCCGACTGAGCAGCTGTATTAATACTAATAAATATACATATGAAATTGAGTTGAACCTCGCAGTATATGAAGCAACTTATGCAGCTGCAAGTTGAAAGAGACTCAGAAAATTTTCTTTTTCTTTTTGAGTCTTTCAATTTGCAGCTGCATATGTTGCTTCATATACTGCGAGGATCAGCTCAATTTGATATACACTTTACATCCGTAGTACAAATATATATTTACAGTGCGACTACTCCAACCAAAGCCACCTCGACAAATTTTCCACAAATTAGCGAATCAAAAGTAGGAATCTGAACAATAGAATTGCTACAAATCGGACAAATATCCAAGGGTTTACACGGCTTAGAAGACTGCCGGCACCTTTGTTGTCGAATATAACCGTGCTGTCGCATAGCAACGTGGTGATAAGATCTAACAGTGTCAGCCTGATAATATCTTTGTCTGGAAGAAACAAACTGTAATCATAAAGACTGTGTTTTATACGGTCTCTAATTTGCTTTCCTGTCGTATTTGAAGTCGTACAT